TTACGGCATCCAGCCACAGCTTGGGGAAGGAATGATGAGAGCCAGAGAAAAGACTCTAATGGGGTGGCCACTGGAAGGAGGAGGACCAGGATGGGGGGGGATACGGAAGGCAGCTGAAGAGGGTGTTTTAATAACAGAGCAACAGTCAAAATTAAAAAGCTCCAATCAGGTGTGGGATTCTGTGACTGAGAAGGAGAATCACACTGATGCTAAATTCTCCTGTTTTAAGTTTATTGAAGAAAATATGATAATTCAAATGTCTCAGAAAACTATTCAAATAAGGGTCTCCCTTCAATGATTAAGTTACGCCTACAGTGCAAAGTCTACATAGTATTGGCAAACTATCAAGTTAAAATGGTTTACCAAGAAAACTAATTTAATACTACTGAATAAATGTCATTTTTGCTTTGCAACAAAGGTCATACTTGACGTATCAATTATTTGAAGAAAATATTTAAGTTCCATTATTTTTTAAATTTTATTTTGAAATCATGAAACTGAAACTGTTAGTTGCTGTCATGTCCGACTCTTTGTGACCCATGGACTATAGCCAACCAGGCTCCTTTGTCCATGGAGTTCTCCAGGCAAGAATAGTAGAGTGGATTGCCATGCCCTTCTCCAGGGGATCTTCCCAACCCAGGGATCAAACCTGGGTTTCCCACACTGCAGGCAGATTCTTTACCACCTGAGCTACCAGGGAAACCCCTTTGAAATCACAGATCAGTGCCAATACTTCATAGTCTAACATTAGCTTGCCTTAGGAACGGCAGCATTATCTAACTTACATATAAAGTACCTCTTCTTTTTATGTTTCAGGATTATTAAGACAAATAAATGGGCTTTTCCCAGCTTCTACCTACAGAAGAGCAGCAAGGCTTCTTGGGCTCGAGGGATAGGCTCTTTCACATTTTTCAAGGGGATTCAAGCCTTTGTTTTAGAAAGGCTCCAGCCTGATTTAGTTTTATAGTCAGATTCCCCAGTGGGGAAAAGATGACTCAGAAACCACACGAGTGGAAAGCGGCACGTTTGGTCATGGGTGCAGGGAGGTTGCCCGGACATCCCAGCTTGATGCTGAAGCAGGTTCCTGGGACATGAGGATGTCAGTTTCATGGGCTTAACAATGTTCCTTTGGGAACTCTATCATTGAAAACCCAAAATGAAAGATATGACACACTTCCAGGGAATTATTTGAGAAGGTTTCCTTACAAATGTTGGATTTGGAGAAGCCCAAGTAGAAATGTAGTTCCTGGGTGTATAGAAACCTGGAAAGGACTGTATGGATACAGCTTCTTGAGAAGAACAGTGAGCACTGACTGACTGAGAGAATCTGAGAGGGAGACAGATCACAGCCTGACACCAGTCTCCTCCCTGCACCTCTTGTCTCCTGCCCGAGCTCTTCACTGGAGGAACCAGCTGGACGGCACCAGGCACGTCCATGCATGTCCACCACTAGGATCAAGAAGCTTGAGACATGGTGGAGAGCAGATCTAAGCAGGCAAAGGGAAAACGTGCCAGGCTGTGTGCTGTGCTAAGTCGCTTTAGTCCCATCTGACTGTAGCCCACCAGGCTCCTCTGTCCATGGGATTCTCCAGGCAAGAATACTGGAATGGGTTGCCATTTTCAGCTCCAGGGGATCTTCCCGACCCAGGGACTGAACCAGTGTCTCCTGCAGCTCCTGCGTTGTAGGTGGATTATTTACCACTGAGCGACTGGGGAAGCCCCAGAGGTCAAGATACAAACCCAAATTTTCAGCATCACAATTCAAGCCAAGTTTTTCTAAATAATGCCAAGCAACGTGTTTATATCTTGCAATTTTTCCTTCCCATAGAGTTTTAAAGACCTCGTAGAAACTCATTCACAAAAATACCTCAGAGTCAACATTATATTTTCACTCTTAAATGGTATTTCCCAAAGTGTATACCAAATGCTCCTGAAGAAGGGCACGGCAACCCACTCCAGTATTCTTGCCTGGAGAATCCCATGGACAGAGGAGCCTGGCGGGCTATCATCCATAGGGTCACAAAGAGTCAGACACGACTGAAGTGACTGAGCACTCATGCATGCACACATACCAAATGCTATGTTAAACCACAAATGACAACATTTAACCATATTTTTAATCTGCAAAAATGACAATTTCATATTGTTCAAACTAGAACACTTGGAAAACCAAAGTTCAATTAAGCAAGTTTCATTTTTGTAGTAATTTTAATGGATGTGTTCATGTTTATCACTTCCTAAGCATCATATTAATTAAATATAGTATTTGCATAACTATAAATATAGCATATAAATGTCTATTCTCTCAAATAACTATAATAAAAGACACTCCTTTGTCTTTAACCCAAACTAGGAAGATGTCTTTTAAAAGAGAATATAATGAGGAATGTAAAAAATTTAATAAAATAGGGGGAAATGTCAGGAAGCATTTAACAAGAGGCTTCCTGTGTGCTGTTTTGGATCTGTCAGGAACCCTCTGGCCCTTATTAATTCCTGAATATTCAGGAATTAAGAGGAGAGGCACGCCTTTCCTGGGGCTGAGGAATCCAGGCATTTCTCACTACAGTGATAAGTACCCTCTTCCTTCTTATGAAAAGGTGATTGTCTGCAACTCTCTCTTTGATAGGGATGTCTTATGTTTTGTAAGTCTGGAATTTTAATCTTTATCTTTGCTGAGAATAACTATCTTGTAAGACAGTATATATGCCCAAGGCATGTTGATTAAAACACCTTTGCTCCATCAGAAAAAAAAAATAAATAAAAATTTAAAAATAAGTGATTTCTTTGTTCCATCACATTAATTTTTTTTTCACATTAATTTTTAAAAGGGAAGATTTTAAAAGGTCAGAAATAAAAGAACATTCTCGTACCAGATAATCATGCAATCACACTCCTTGGTATTTATGCAAAGGAGTTAAAAACTTATGTTCATACAAAAACCTACATGCAAATGTTTATAGCAACTGTATTCATAATCACCAAAAATTGGAAGCAACCAACATGTCCTTCATTAGTGGGTGAATGGGTAAACAGTGATACATCCAGACAATGGGATATTATTCAGCACTGAAAAGAAATGAGCCATCAAGCTAAGGGAAGCCTAGAGGGACTTGAAATGCACATTATTAACTGAAAGAAGCCAATGTGAAAAGGCTATATATTATATTATTCCACCTAGCTGATACTAGAAAAGGCAAAACTATGGAGAAAGAAAAAACATAACTGTTTTCCAGGGGTTAGTTAGGATGGGGGAGAAATGAACAGGAAAGGCACAGAGGATGTTTAGGGCAGTGAAACTCCTTTCTATGAGACGGTAATGATGGACACAAGTTATTACACACTTGTCCAGACTCATAGAATGTGCAACACAAGAGGGAACTCCATGTAAACCACGGCCTTAGGGGGATGACGTGTTAGTATGGGTTCATCAGCTGTAACACACGTACCATCTGGTGGGGATGTAAATAAAGCGGGAGGCTGAGTATAGGCCGAGGCAGAGGCTATGTGGGAAAGCTCTGCACCTTCCTCTCAAATGTGCTGTGAACCTAAAACTGCGCTAAGAAAGTCTATTATAAGAGGAAAATAGCAGAAACGCAGCCAGGAGAGTACATAACGGGTAGGAGAGGAAAACATAATCTCATAATAGTACCAATGTTTTTATTGTCAAATAAGGACAGCGCACCACACACATGCCATGTACTCTCACCACCATTTCTGAAGACAGCGGACATTTTTATCTCACAAAAAAAGAGCAAAAACGATATAATCTTGGAACGAAAACATTTTTCCCCCCAAGCCAGGATAACTGGAACAAACTTACCTTGATACTCTTGCAATAAGCCAGTGAAAGTTTTACCACGTACAGATCCTATTCCATGAGCACATGTTCACAAATTACTGCCTCAAAGCACAGCGAACCCGAGGTAAGAAATTGTGCAGACTTTAACCTCAATTTCATTACCAACCCCTTAAAACATCAAATTGACCTCAGTCCATTTTCTAATGTATATTTTAAATGTGGCTCACAAGTGACCTGCCAAGAGATGAATCGAGCCAGAATGTGCTCATGTGAAAATTCCACTCGGTTTACGATGACAGCTGACCTGGGAGCTACCACGTTACATGACACGTCTAACATGGTGCAGTTTGAAGGGTATTCACAGACTCGGGTGCCACAAAGTACCCCCACCCCTTCCGTCTCGAAACCGTTCCTTAAAAATGTGCTGGACAGTGAAGGCGGGGACCGTCTTCAGGAGGTACGCATTTAAAGCTGCAAATGTGGAGCCACTAAATCCTCAGAGATGACTGTCCTACAGAAGCTGCTGGACACCTCAGCACTAAGCAGGGACAACATCAGGGGAGCTGAGAGCAGACAGTCAAAGCAGACTGCCAACAGCCAGACTTCGTGGCAGCACCCAGGGGGGTGAGGGAGCCTGGGCTAGATGTCAGGGGTGGGGAGGGGGCACCCAAGACAAACCTGACCTCACATCTGTCTGGGGCCCAAGTTCAGATACTTACTGAGTAACTCAAATCTTTAAAATGTTTTCTTTCCATATAACTAAAGAGAGCATGGGTTTCCCTTGTAGCTCAGTCCGTAAAGAATCTGCCTGCAGTGCAGGAGACCTGGATTCGATTCCTGGGTTGGGAAGATCCCCTGGAAGAGGGCATGGCAACCCACTCAAATATTCTTGCCTGGAGAATCCACAGACAGAGGAGCCTGGTGGGCTATGGTCCATGGGGTCACAAGAGTTGGCCATGACTTAAGGACTAAACCACCACCACCAAAGACAGCATCCATCTATCACCATCTGAGAGTGGAGAGAATTTCCTAAGACAAACCGTTCTCTGGATAGGGGTTTTCAAAGTTTCCTATTTTGCTCCACAAAAGGTCCATCCCTGTCGCGGGTGGAGTGGGGAGCCTTTAGACACGAATGGGCCCTGCCTCCCCGGCAACCCGGGGATGAGAGGACCGCGGAGGGAGGAGGGGCCTGTTCACCTACTTGAGAACTGCACGGAGAAGCCGGACTTGCTGATGAAGAAGTCGCTGTCGAACTGCAGGGTGAGGGAGTTGAAGGTGCTGTGGATGTCCTCGGGCAGCGCCGAGCCGCTCCACTCCTTCAGCAGGATGGCGCTGTCCGCCGGGCCGTCCCACACCCGCAGGATGTCGTGGGCCAGCTCCGTGTCAAACACGATGAAGTGCAGGCTGCAAGGAGAACACGGCTGAAGCGGGCCGGCAGCGAGGGCGCCCGGTGCAGAACTCAGGGGCGCCCCAGCCCGTTTCCCGTCCCCCAGCCCCACCCCGCGCGCGCGTCCCTGTCTGCCGGTCCTGGGTGAGCCTGGAGCCTCACCCGGCGGGCTCAGGCGGCCCACCAGCAAACAGCCGAGCCGGCCGCTTCTGTCCGAGATGGACGCAGTGAGGACACGCAGCTGTCAGCTGCGCTGGGTGCTCAGGGGTGAAACCAGGTCTTCGGAGACCTGAGCTCTTTTCACGACTCCAAGCTCTTTCTTTCCGGCACCCCGACCAAAGATGGGTTTGACACAACTTTGTTCTAAGCTAGTGGCAGGGTGTGATGCCTATGGTACCAGTGTCGTTCCCGAAACGCCCCACGAGGTGGCAGCATGCAGGCCAGGAGAGCCGCTGGCAGAGATGGTCACACCAGGAGGTCCCCGTCTGCCTGTACCTGAGCGACCTCATCCTCCGGGGTGTCTGCTTTTATACAGTCTATCTTCAGGAAAAATGCATGATTTGAGATACCAACACAAAAGCGGAATTGTGTAGTATAAACTCCTTTTCTTGTAATATTCTAACATACTATCAGATTTACATATATTTTTCAGAGTAACATAAAAAATCTCTATGTCAGAGGAAGCCGCAGACCTGTAGTTCTATCTATGGCAATTCACATGGATAAAAGAATTTAATATCAACAAAAATCCATATTTCCTGAATGCTTTTATTGTCTTTCACTTACTGCTAATTGCATGAAATTGTAAGAAAGATAAAAATCACAATAACTACTGTACAAAACACTGTACACAAATACTAATTACTTACTTTGTGCACATTACATACTCAAAGAAAATATCTAACGCTGAATAAAGTATAAAGCATGTAGTATATTTTTAAAAGTTCAATTTAAAATATCTTTAATAGAGAGGAAAGCACAGAATATAGTAGACATCATCTTAACATTTTGCCTTATTTGCTTCAGATGTCTTTTTTTTTTAATCTATATTAATAACACAGTCCTACTCCCCCTCCTCTCCACTTACTTATTGTTTTTCCTCTCACTCCCACCTCCTGAAATCACAGTGGTTTCTTCTCATTTATATTTTCATGATTCTCATATGCATATATGTGTATACATATATCCAAAAATATATACTACTATTTTGTCCGTTTTATCAATAATTACATAATAGATGTAACTTTGTCATGTATGTGCATGTCTCATGTTCAAGTTGCTTTTTTTTCTTTAGCTTTTGTGTGGCTTTGTTTGTTTCTGTATTCAGTCACTCTGCATAGCTCATGGGATCTTAGTTCCCTGACCAGGGGTCAAACCTGGGCCCTTGGCAGTGAAAGTGCAGAGTCTTGACCACTGGACTGCCAGGGAATTCCCTCAAGTTGCTTTTTTACATTGAGTGTTAGGTGAAATTCCTCTAAACTAGAGATGTAGACTTTGGTAACTCACTTCAGAAGCAGAATAAATGCTTCACTTGTCTCGGGCTGTACTGAAAGAGAGTCAGTCTCTATATTTGATGATGATATATGGTGCTCATCCTTGGACCTCTCTAGGCTCAGAAAGAGAAATGGCAAAGTTGTTCTCCCCGTGTCTGTAGCGACATACAGCCTCACAATAAACTACAGAGGGCTCTGTGTTGCCACGCCTTTAGCAATACCTGATGACATCAGCCTATAATAGTTGTACAAAGAGAAAATCTGATGGTCCTGGGGAGGTCTCTTATTTAAATGACATCTCCCTGAATATTTGTGAGGTTGAACATACTGTTATGAGTCTAAAGCAACCCCCCTTCAATATACAATGCAGTTCAACAATTCAAGGAATATTTCTTGAGCACAGACTGTTATCAGGCACTCTTCTAGGTATTTTGGATACATCAGTGAACTAAAGGAAAACTCCTGCCTTCACGGAGCTTGCACAGTTGGTAATGGGAGGAGAAGAGCAAAAAAAACCCAGAAACTGTAGAAAATAAGAAAGTTGCATGTTGGTAGGTGGTAAATGTCACTGAGAAAAGAAAAAAAAAAAGCAGAGCAGAATAAGCAGCCATCGGTCTTGACAGGATTGAAGGGCAGGGAGGAGATTTAGGAATTAAATGGCTGGATGACCCATGTATTTAGCAATTAAATGAGATGGCTGGATAACCCATGTTGGTGAGGAGAACCCTGAATAGAGACTTGAAGGAGAAGAGAGGTTTGTTATATTTGCAGAGGATCTTCCTGAACCAGGGATCAAACCCAGCCTCCTGCATTGCAGGCGAATTCTTTACTATCTGAGCTACCAGGGAAGCCCCACATTTGATGAGAGGGCAGAGTGAACCTGCAGAATCCCGACACAGAGGGCACACCGTCAGCGTTTGAGACCATGCGGGCAGGCAGTGTAATGAGCAGAGAGGGGGCCTGTGGAAGAGGCGCTAAGGCCAGAGAAACATGCGGGTGGGGACGGGGGTGCGACGGGCGAGGCCCAGGGCTTGGAAGCTTATTCTGTGGGCTCTGGCTCTCACCCCAGGTGACCCACCAGGGCGGTGTTTGTGGTGAAGTAGTCACCTCACCTGTGATTTAAAAAAAAGAAAAGAAAAGAAAAATTGCTCTGTGCTTGTGTTGACAACAAGCTCTCCAGGGAAAGGCAGAACTGAGAATCGGATGTGTGCTGCTTAGAGGAGTGGACCGGGGAGCACTGGGTGGCTGGCAGGTTCTGGGCACAGTGTGATGGTGGGAAACACGGCCATGGGAGGCCTGTGGGGTGAAGAGAGGATGCGAGGTCACTCGAGGGTTTGTGTGTAGGTAACGAGAACCATGCAGAAGTCACGGCTGAGCGGGGGAGGGTGCAGGTGCAGGGTCTGTGGCGTGGGAAGACCAGATGTTCTGGGTTGGGCCTGTGAGTTCAAGATGCCCAGTGGACAGTGAGCAGCTGGCTGCTCATGCCAATCTGGAGCTTTGCAGAGAAGTCTGGAAGGAAAGAAAAACCCGTGTGTTCAGCAAATAAATGGCTTTAAGCCATGGGACGAGATGAGACCATCACAGGTCTTAGGCAGAGGGAAGAAGAGGCGCGAGACTGAATGACCCCATCACATTGGATTGCCCACTGCTGTGAGGCGTGCTGCGTGTCTTACTACTGTTTGTGTACGGTACTGTATTCTTGTGGAAAGATTTGATTACATACTCTATCATTTTAAGAAAAATCCCCTGCTGCTCATGATGCTGGGAAGGCTTTTATCTAGTTATGCTGTTGATCATGAAAATGCATTCAATTCTATGAAACTACTTTTTCTAAACCTGTTTAGATGATCTGACAGGTCATTTTTCTTACTATATAAATAGGAGTAATTTTAGAGTTCAGCTCTTAATTTTTATTTCTAGCTCTTGTTCTTTGATATGAAGGTTATTTTAGTCTTATTAAATGGATCAGCTATTTCTCTAGTTTTTTCTTTTGCCTGGAAGATTTTTCCAATATATTGACATAATATAATCTATTATTTTTTCAATGTTGTAAAAACAATTTCTATCGTAGGAGTGTATTTCTATTCCATTTCTAATATTGGTTATTTGGGTTTCCTGTATTTTATCTGAATATGTCAGTTATTTTTCTACTCAATGATAATCTTTTTCAAGAATCAGTTTATGGGTTTGGTAATTCTCTACATTTTTCTTCCATTAATTTATGTTACTGTGTTTGCTGTTTTTCCACTCTACTTTTTTAAATTTATTTTGATACTATGTTTCAAATTCCCTTATCTGGAAGCTTAATTTACTGATCTTCGAGTGATCGTCTTTTTCTAATACTTGTATTTAGGGCTGTAAATTTCACATTAATCTCTTAATCACGTGTCTTTTATTTTCAAGATGGAGAATGTATTTTGTTACTTTCTTGTTATACTTTTTTATTTCTATTACATTTTGATCAGGATGTGGAGTATAGAAGAAAATGATTTTCTGTTTTATTGATTTTTATTGATTAGTTTTCTTCTAGTTTGTGATCATATTTGTACATGTTTCATATTTACTTGAACAGAATGTGCAAATTCTACTTGAAGGCTATATAACTCCTTTAAATAAGTTCAGTAATTGCATGGTTCAAATTCTCCATAAACTTACTAATGTGTTACTGTTTGATTTATCAATCATAAAGAATTATAAGAGGTGTGCTATGCAATTTCCAATGTCTTCAAATTATTTATTTTGTTTGTATTAAACTATGTTCCTAGCTGGATACTAGTTTCTCTTAAGAGTCATATATGCCTGGTAAATATATATCAAATAGTATTTTGTGTGTTCACAGTAATTACATAGGCAATCCCTGGTGGCCTAGTGGTTAGGATGCCAGGCTTTCACTGCCATAGCCAGGGTTCAGTCCTTGGTCAGAAAAATAAGATCCCACAAGCTGCAAGGAATAGCCAAAATAACTTGCAAAACAGGAACTCTTGTAAAGGAATGATAGGCAGTTTGAATATAGATTCCAGGTTGACCGTTTTATATATATAATTATCTGGTTCATGAAAAAGGTTGCACTGCACTTAATGGAGAAACACTGGCTTATCAACAAATGTCAAATGAACTGCACTGTGGACAAAAAAATTCCTTGAATCTTCCTCATAACTTACAGAAAAATTAATTCCAGATGGAATGAAGACATGTAAATGTGGAAGATAAAGTAAATCTTCTGCAAAAATCCTAAGATAATGTTTTTTATAATTTTGGAGAGGCAAGATTTCTTAAACTGGACACAAAAATGTTAAGATAAAAATTGATATAACTCAATTTGAATACATATAAACACACTAGCCATGAAAGAAAAATGAGCCAAAATGAATTTGATTCATAGAAATTGAAAACTTGTCTTTAACAAAAGACATCATTATGAAACCATAAAGACAGACCAGAGTATAAGAATATAGCTGCTAAATATAGAGTCAACAAAAGATTGCATTCAGATGTATCAAAACTATATACAAATCAATAAGTAA